ACACGGTTTTTTTGGTGTGGCCTTCGAAGTACTATCAATAAGTGTAAAAAAATTTTAAGTCATGACTAAATCTCCGGTCTCTCTTCAATTCTGTCCAGATAAAGCGTACATGCTCAATATATTTTGTGGGTACATGTGGGCAAGCATGTTCATTCATTTGCCGAAACAGAATCGCTAAAATATCTTGTCTCTGAACGTAGTGATTGACCATCTACCCCTCTCTACTCTGCATACAAATAGTTTTAAATTTAATCTTTTCTCGGTACGGACTGTATCAATACCGCACAGTTTTTACCCCTCGCCTACCAGCCAGATCTCATTTTTGCGCGTGCATGCAAGTAAATTGAATTGGTGCATTGGATTTTATGTTTAGTAATGCCAACGGATAATCCGGAAATCTGAATCACTGAAATTATTTTCATCCTCTTTCCGCTGAAAAGGAATTCATGCAAGCATTCGCGGATCCTCATCATTCAACACATGAACCTTTCCAATCCTCTTTAATTTACTTCAAAAGATATCATTTGGATTTTTATTTTTATAGGTCTTCCTGTAAACTCTCATCCTAGGATTCATCTCCGGGAACGGCCTTTAACTGCTCGAGACCTGTTTTGCATTTTTGCGTCCGATATTACTCATACTGCAGGGATACGGGAAAACGCCGTGAGAACCTTTAGACGTTATAAAAACTCCACCACATAAAATATTTATTTTTTAGGAAATATGTATGTGTTATATGAGTTATATTGTTATATGTGTATGTTTTATTGTAATATGAGTCAGCTGATGATGGTGGCCCGGGTAGCCGCCGAAACGCGTCCGAAAAATAACAAATTAGTGAAAGCGTGAGTTTTCCAAAAAATTTCAAAAGTTTTAATATATGTGTGTTGTTATTTCCTGTAATTTTCAGATATTTTAGATTAAACAGACCAGTGGATAATTCACGAATGTAAACATTCCTATACAGGTTTCTTAATTAAAACATGTAGAACACGATTGCTGCATCGAAATTACTGAAATCAACTTCTAACTAAAGATATTAACGTCTTTATTTCACACTGGTTACGGGAATTTGGAATTTCCCGGTCACAAGAGATGCAATTCTCTACGTGAGTCAAATCACGCCTCACGACAGTTTTGGCAGGCTTCTCAATCGAGCATTGTTCCTTTTCTACCCTTTATCGTTCAAAGTGTGAACCATTTGCTATAACTGAGCCAAAGAGTCAAGATTGAGGTTTTCAGATTTTCAAATAGCAGAGATTGTCATGGTAAAGTTTAGTGAGCGGTTTGACTCACGTAGACCATAGAGTTTTCATGAGCGGGAAGCTTGAATTCACGCGTCAAGAAACATTAAATATCATGGCTAGGAGTTAGTTTCAGTCATTTTTGTTGTGCAAATCGTGTTTTAAGTGAAATTTTGGTTAGGAAACATGTATCAGAATGCTTAACTTCGTACCTTGTCTAGTGGTCCATTGCGGACTTCGAGTTCCAGAAATTTATCAGCGATTGATCGATGGAATCTCCAGTGGTTTTCGAAAATGCCACCTTTGTATTACAAGTATCTCGGGGCGAAATTTGAGCAGCACCGAGCTGTTTTTCCGATGAAACTTCTGTGTAGTGGTTTAAGTTTGTTTTACCGGGCAGTGCGACTGGCCCACGGGGACCCGAGAGGATTCTGCGAGACACTTATTAAGACGGCGACCAACAAGAGTGGCTCATTCAAACCTTCCTGAATGTCAAAACGTCGAATCTAACAAAAGCGATGGTGACAGGGATTGCCGGTTTAGCGAGAAAATGCTCTAAGGATACACCTTGTGAAGAAGATATCATTCAAACTGATTGCGGTAGACGCACGGGTCATAAGACATAAACTTGGAATTTTTCAGCCAACGAGCGTTAAAAATCAGCATATAGCTGAAAATCTCGATACAGAGGGAAAATGCTCACAAGAGCACAATTTTCCCTCAAAGAGATACGCTGTTCGTTACTAGTGTTGCGCCAAAACAGCGCATCTCTTTGAGGGAAAATTGTGCTCATAAGAGCATTTTCCCTCTGTATCGAGATTTCCAGCTTTATGCAGATTTTTAACGCACGTTGGCTAAAAAGATATTATTCTTAATTTTCTTTGTTTCTCCTTGTTTGAAGTCATTGTGACTTTCGTGGAGGATCGATTTACAACACAAAATGATCTCGTTTGATCTAAAAAAATATTTTTTGCACAGATGAGACAGCAATTTATGAAAATGCATCAAAGTGCTAAAATACTGCTAAAATAATGCAATTTCATTTTTCTAAGCTAAAATAACAGAGACCAGGCTGAAACATGAAAAGTATGAACTTCAGAACTGATGACTATTTTTTTTAGGAGGAAGGAGAAGGGAGGTTATAAATTCGATGAATTCAAGAGTTTTGGATTATCTGCGTCATCAGCGCCCGCACCCACCTCCACATCGGTTTCAGATGAAATTCGTCATAACTCTTCAGTCCCACATCGCGTTTTGAAGAAAGAAAGGCGCGAAGAAAAGGTGAGCTGCCGGGAAGACAAATTTTAAGAAAATCTCCAGAACGTTTCTAAAATTGATCTCAATTGACCAAAACTGTCGAAAAAACGAGTCAAATATCCAATGCAGTAGGAGCAACAGTCTCCTCACTCATCTCAAATGACGCTTGTCACGCTGCCGTACTAAGGAAAAACGCCGCATGGACCTTCAGGCGTTGCCAAATTTCCTTTGGTAAATCATAAACTTTTGGGAAAAATTGTACATATTTTTCCTTCAATTTTTCAGATAATTTTGTTCGCAATTTCAACTAAAGTTCCGAAAAATTTCAAGGAGAAATACTCATACCTTTCCTTAAAAATAAAAATTTTATCGGAGGAAATTCGGCAACTCTTGAATGTTCATACGGCGTTTTTCCTTTATGTGCTGGTTACACGCTCAAATTCCCATCAATTTCCGATCAAATGGCGACTGGTGCGCACCATCTACCATCAAATTTCTGCGGCCTGCAAAAATGTGATGGTAGATGATGGAACTGTGGGGCTCATCCTTCATCTGATTTCCACACGACCGTGCTTATTTCATGCTTATTTCAATCAACACGCTGTTTTAATTAATTTTACTCATCAATCTAGATAACTCTCGACCGCCATCTTGGTCATCATTTTGATCGGAATTTGACGGAAATTTGAGCGTGTAACCAGGCCATTAGCATGGCAGTGTAAGTCTACGAGAAAGATAAGGGCGAAGAGGTGGTTAGCGGCCGGGAGATAGGGGCGCAAATTTTATAAAAATCCTCCAAATTGTTCTAAAATTGATCAAAGTTGACCAGGACGGTCCAAAATCCGGGTCAAGCAAACAATGCTGTGAGAGCAACAGCCCCTTTTCTCATCCCAAACGACGACGCTTGTTAGGGCGTCTTGAGTCGCACGTCACGAGCTCCTCAAGAAGGGGAAGGGCGAAGGCGAGGGGGGGGGGGAGGTGAGGAAGGGGAGGATTCGCGATTAACATGCGGATTCGCGCGAATGCACTCGCGCTGGCACTCGCCACTCGGAGCCGCACTCCGCGGGCCACAGATCAAAACAGAGCGGCGATTCATTTGCATACGAGGCGCCAGCGCGGACCCTTTATTTGTTAACTCGGCCCCAGGGACCTTTTTTTGATACCTCCTTCGGCCCCGAAAACGAGCTCTCCGCGCTCATATTTCATCGCATCGTCTTGTTATCAACTCCCACGCCTCGTTGTCACGTCGTCGGGAAAACACCTGGCGCAGAGGAGGCGTATTTGGACTGCATTTTGCAATTTGGAACTATTAATTCTGGCTCTTCTGGAAAAACACTTACGTGCATATGGAAACTAACGGCACATATGTTTTTTTTAACCGGGTTAGAATTTATGGTTCTAAATTGCAAAATGTAGTCTATTTGTAGGATCACGTGACAGGGCTGCCGCAGAATTTAGAAAATAAAATTCCCTGGCATTTCCCTGATTTCCCGGACGCATTTTGGTGAAATTCCCTGACACTTGAAGGTATGCCAAATGATTAATACAGGGTGTCTACTAAAACAGGCTGGTCAAAAATAAGTACTTTTACAGCACTTTTTCAGTACGTTCTCAAGAAATTCAGTACCTCCTCTGACAGAAAAATTCCGTACTTTTCCAGTGCCTCCATTTGACGAAAATCGAAAAATTTCAAAAATTTGAAATTGCGCCAAAAATGACAAAAAATAAAAAAAAATTCCGGACCTTTTCCCGGAATTTCTGCTTTTTTTCAGTATTTCCAGACCGCCCTTGAATAATCCGTACGATTTCCGGACTTTCCATAAATTCCGGACTTGTAGACACCCTGTTAATAAGACATTATTAGGAATACTTTTCAGACAAAATAAGTTGTTCGAAACAGTTAAACCAATTCCAGACAGCAAATAAAGGTGACCTAACAATTTTCCTTGACATTTTTGTTATTTTTCCTGACGTTTCCCAATTTTCCCTGACTTTGTAAGATTCCCTGACATTTCCCGGTTTTCCCGCCATTGTGGCAACCCTGATGCGACTTAACCATTACATGCCCGGGCTAAGTTAAATAGGTCCCTGAACCATGAACGAATTTTCACTCGCGAAAACATTTTTCTTCGAGAAAGAGAAATCTGATGAGAAACTTACAAACAGAAAAATTGAACCGATTATTTTCCAAACTACGTAAGCGCCAAAATTGCGAATGCGAGAAAAACAAGAAAAACCCTTTTGTTCGCTTTGTTGACAATATTCAAATTCCAAAAAATGTATATTATTTTATAAGGCTATTTTGAAATCAGACATGATTGATTATGCCAGAGAAAACAAAGAGAAAACAACCCTTCTACAACAAAAATAGAGATTGGTGCTTACGTGATTTGGAGAACAATTGGTTCAATTTTTCTCCATATGGCTACACCCACGGGTGTTTTGAAGATGTAAATTCCAACTTTACGTATCAATTTCGTGATCTTTGAGGTGACTTACCTTTAGAACACGCTGTCTGCAAGTGGAAACTGTGATCCCTGTGAACAAAAATTAACGTGTATTAGGAATTCATCTCCACATCAGATTCTGTTTCTTATTGTGAGGAAAGGTGTACTGTTTGACACATCTGCTACATTACAGTTAGTCATTTTTCCTAAATCACGTTTTCCTAATACTTTTTTTACTCTCAGGATATGATGATTCCCAAATTCCTATTGTATCCGAAGAACTGCTCGATGAAAATCATTGAAAACCTCATCACCTGAGCCCTTCGATAAAGAAACAGCTGACGGGATAGGAGAATCGACACCGAGAAGCGTTCAAATCAATCGGACGTATTTATGCTGAAAGGAACTATGTTCATAAGGTGCGCGTGAGACATAGTCCCTTTTGTCACAAATACGTTCAATTGAACGGCGCCCTCAATCCCCGACACGATCGGTCGAGGGGCGGTGCAAGGCGAAGTCACTCCAAGTGAGCGATGCATCGCGGCCGGTGAATAGAACCATTTTCTGATTGTTTGCGGGAAATATTTCCCTTGCCCCTGCATCGATGCCACCGGAAACAACGACCTTAAAATCCGGAGCGCCCCGACAATGGCCCCCGACGATGAATCAAACCCATCCGTCCGCAATCCGTCGCGGATTACTACTCGATAATGCATATTTCCACCCCGCCCGCATTTTCATTCTCGTTTTAATAATATTTTTATCGGCGTGTCGCCGTGTGTGACGCTTCCAGCGCATTGTTAACAATGAGTGACACGATTTGATTTCGTACCAAGATTACGTTTCTCTTGTGTTCGCGCCGCGCCGGCATATGCCTGCCCGAGCTCGGTTGAATTCCATTTATGTTAAAAATGCGGAAATATTCCGATGGACCAATAGACAAGGTGCGAATTGGACGTATTTCTGCACTAGAAGAAAAACACATTGGATCTAGAGTTCAGACTCTCAAAAACATCGACAAGAAAAAGGACTCTTGATTGAAACTCAGAATCTAGCTTAAATCAAGAACCAAGCCTCTTAATTTAAGCGGATTTCGTTCTGATTCAAGCAAAAATCCGATTGAATCAAGAGTATTTTTTCTTGTCAATGACTCTAGATCCAAGCAACTTTTTTTTTCCAGTGGGCTTTTAGAGGACCTTGCGTATAAGTGCAGTTTTTGCAATTTCGAGGAATACGTGTTTGAAGTTTCTAAATTATACGGATCCTTGTGGCGGCAAGAAAGTTTATACTGACCTTTTGATGCTTCAAAATTTAAATTCGGGAGCGAATTTTTCACAGAATATGCATTAAAACCAGTTTTACATGAAATCACTATTATCTCATGTTTTTCAAAAACTGCACTTATGCACCTTGCTCTGCAAGCCCCTCATTTCAGACTTCCAGGATATGAATGGAATGTGAATAATATAATGTAGCTTGCAGAGTCGCCATTAAAACGTTTAACCTGACTATACGTAGAGCTATTTCCACGGATTTTTCCTCAACAATTTAGACGGCTAAATTCATATTAGCTGGGTGCTCATCGATCAAAAAGCTAATTTATCAACCTTTGAAGACGTCGACTTTTTAAAGGGAGCGCAAAGGAGGCCGATAGTCGGCGGTAATGTAATTCCTGCACTTGACTCGCGAGTAAATAGAGTCTCAAGCAATTTGTGGCATTTACCCGGAGGGCTTGAATGTGCCTGCATGAAATTAAGAGTTATTCAGAAAATCGCATTAGCCTCGAGGATGTTGAGGAAATATGTTATTCATACGTATGCTAATTCAGACAAAATGTTTTCATTCTCCTACCCTTAGAGAGCCTCATACAGCTGCCAACATGTGCGAGGGAAAGGAAGATTTATGTGAAAAATCCAAGAGGTGGTGTATCTGGTCTGAAATTCGAGTTTCATACCACAATTAGTTGTTAGATTGTTAACTGAACAAATTCGATTAGTTGCAAACGGAAAATTAACATTTTTAGTAGGAAGTTCCATCATTTACTGAAAGAAAACTATACTTCGATAGAATCGCACGGCAAAAAGAAAGAAACTTTATGCATAGAATCCGAATTTTAGGTTAAAGGATCTCTGAATTTTTCGGATTCTGCATCTGAAAACTTAAGGTCGAGCTACTGAGGTTCAGGTTACATATCCGATAGGAAGTGCTTCGATACTTCGGCTGAGACTTTTATGGAGTCGACCGAATTACTTCAGATGTGTTGCTTAGATTTTTGCAGCTAACCTTACGTTTTTAGATGCATGATCCACAAAATTTAGAGATCCATAGAATTGAACTTGAAATCCCACGCATGAAGTTTTTTTCTCTGTGATAGAGTTGGGCAGAACAGTGAGAACGGTACCTTATGCATCTGAGGTCTTCTTCTCTGTGTTTACTGTCAAAATGTTTAACACTCTGAAGATCATAAAATGCTGCATTGATTGAATTCGAGCATTGAAAATGCAGGACAATGGTTCAGAAACTTGTATTTAATCTGAAAAATTATTTCTTTCAGTAATAAACAAATAGTTCGACTCTGGAGACCCCTTTTCCTTTCTTTTAATTGAAAATAAAAATTGCTGTTCCCTAGAGGATAAAACATCAACGTGAAGAAATGCACAAGTCAAAAACATTAAATTTCCTCTCAAACCAAAATTTAAGTCTTTAAATTGTAAATAGAAGATTGTTTGAAATTAGAAAACAGTTTCTCAGTCACTATTTTTTAGATGCGTTTTTATTTACAGAACCTCGGAAAGTTCTAAGAATTCTAACCTACGCACAATTGAAATTATTATCTCCTCTTTAATTAAAGAAAAATACAGAGTTTAAAAAGGCGGAATAGCTGCGTTTGGGACACAGTTCGGGCATAGTGTGTATCTCGAATTCTCGGGTTTCAAATCGAGCTGACAACAAGGAATCCTGCCGAAGTTGCCACTGTGAACCACGAATCACTCTGTCCTTTATCGGATATAACAGAAAATCGACAGTTCTCTGGCGCCTCGACGATGCAGGGTTTTGCTGTGCTAAGGGAAAACACCGTACAAGCCTACGGACGTTGCAAAATTCCGTTCGATTGAAAACTATTCCCTAAAAAACTTGTTAATATTTTTTTCAATTTTTCAAATAATCTTACCTACAATTTAATCTGCAGTACCTGCAAATTTCGAACGAAAAAGATTCACAATCTCCCTTAAGACATAGAAATTTCATCGAGAGAAACTTAGCAACATTCGGGTGTTCATACGACGTTCTTCCGTAGCGCGGCAAAGTTGACCCTGCCTGGCTCGGACGTCCAATTTGAATGTTAAGTAGTATGAACAATTGGGGACGTTAGAGCCGAGGATAGGGTGATTAATTGACTTATGCCGCTATGTTTATGATGCTCAATTAAAAATAAATATATCATACCGGGCAGGCCCGCGGGCACAATGCTGTTGCCGAATGGGCATGGCACGTTGAGGCAATTTTTGTTGCGCAAAGCCTATTGCGTGAGAAATTTTGCAGAGAAAAACATACATCAGAATACTTGAATGTGCACCTTGTCTATTGATCCTTCATGTATAAAGTAATTTACAATTAACATTTTATTACATCAAGTAACAAAAATTCCTCTCAGGAACGGCAAACGTAAGCTGTTCATCGTTTTTGCCGTTACTCTGACTAAATCGTCATTGCGTCACGTCGCGCCGTGTCACGTTGAGAGGTCAAAAATGGATGATACAACTATTTTAACTCCTGAGTAGCTCAAATTGCATAGCCACCTAAATTGAAGGGGCACCCTGTTTCTAACCAGAAAAATGTGTCTCCGGGTGAAAAAAAAGGAAATGCGCTATTGGCTTCGAGCATTTTCGGTGTCGTTGTTTCTTCTTCATATTCTTTTTCTTTTTTTTTCCTTTCCCTCGCAGAGTGCACAATTTTTTCAGAGGAACGCAATGAAAAAAAAATCTCGGTGTATTTACTAAGAATTGGGTAAAATTACCAAGAATTCAGCGTTCTTTTTGATCGCAGTTTTTTCTTGGTAAAATTACCATTTATGGAATTGGTAATTTTACCGAGAAATCTTGGTAAAATTGTTGAACTTTCTCGGTAATTTTACTGGACCTTGGTAAAAACGCCAATATTTTTTATCGACTGTGGTAGAATTACCGACATAAAATGGCAAAGTTACCGGGAATTGATTACCAATAAAAGTGGTATTCTTACCTAAAAAAAAACAGTAAAAATGCCGGTTTTTAGGTAAGCTTACCAGTCTGCGTTGGTAAAACTACCAATAATTGGTAGAAAAAACGAGATGGTAAAGGTACCAACGGACCTTGGTAAAAGCGCCGAGAATTTTTTTTCAGTGCATTTTAATTTTTTGCAGTACGTTTCGTTCGTAGGTCAAACTGGGTGATGCAACATTTTAATTCAAGAACAGCTCAAATCAGCGGTTCCTGCAGCCTGATTGTTGAAAATTTTTGTTCGTCGGAACGGCATAGATGACATAGGTTAAAAGGCGGAGCGTCATTGGTCGGCTATGTCTTATCTCTGCTTTGTCGTTGCTACGTCGGGTTGAACTCACGACAAGCTAACGGCACCTCTTAAGTCTCCGACAGTATGTCGATGTCGTCCATTCCACCTGACGGCACGATCAAGCAGCATAAGACATAGCCGACCAATCAACCTCCGACTTTTAAGGTATGTCATCTATATCGTCCCGACAAACACAAAATTACAACAATCAGGCTACAGATCTTTCAAGCTTGCGGACTCATGAGTCCGGATCCGAAAGGCTCTTTTCCACCCTCCCCCCCCCGCCTGTATGCTCTCCACGGCTCACAGTGAATTGAGTAAATTACAGAGGGCGGACATGCACTTTTTAACAAAAACTGTAAAATTCGAGGTTTATTTCGGCTTATTTCAAACAACTGGTGAAAGAAAATTTGAGAAAACCAATGGAACCATTTTTAAAACCTAAACAGTTTGTGTGAACAGAGTTATACGCCTTTAAAGTTTCCAAATTTTGTCCAACTTTTCCTATCGACTCGATCCACTGTGCGGCTCTCGCGGGT